TTGCAACAGATGTGGCTGCTTTACTGAGTCACAGATACTCCATTCTCATTCCCATATGTTCCAAAACATCTCTTCCAAATTGAACCCTATGTGTTGCACAACTCCGTATACTAGATATGTACATTTAGTTTATATAAAATAAGGAAAGTTATCTGAATACACTTAAAACTTGTTACCTTTTCAGTAAAATCTTCACATGCATAAATAAATGGTCAAAATCTTCATTAGTTGCTACTTTAATGGAAAAACTGTCATAACCATGTTATGAACATTGTTTTCTTTATTTTATTTACAGTCAGAAACCAAAAATAACATAGAACATAATACTAGAGTATAAACCAATAAAACAAAATGTATGATATGCCAAACATAAAATATTGTTTTAAAAGTTCTGCTTACTGTATCTTACAGAACATAGTCAGAGCTAGAAAAACTGTAGAAAAGATCAACCAGGAGTGTGAACAGCTCTTCAGATGAAGGAAATGCTGGAGTTTCGAAAAATAATGTGTAGTTTGGAGATAGATTTTTCCCCTTTTCCCACTAAACAACATTCCTAATGAATGGAATGATAAAATATTCAGAATACACAAAAGGAAATACTTCAATCACATAGTTTAATTATGGAATTTGCTACCACAAGATATGGTGATGGTTATTAAAGTAGATGATTAATTAACAGAATAGAGTTATCAGTGCTGCTTGATGGTCATATGCTGTCTCTGAGATCAGAAGCAGCATGTTTCTAACATTTAAGTTGGTGAGGGGCAACAATGAGAATTAATATCCTCATATTCTGCCTTTGGGCCTCCCAAGAAGCTTCTACCTAACCTTTATATTAAAAGAAAGTCTTAGATCCAACAGTAGGAATTGATTGTGAATATATTAATGTATTACTAGTTCCTTTTATTTTATATGTACCTCTCACAATGGGATGATGATTTCTTTCCATTTATAATTCACACTGATCTTCCATGCAATAAGCTTTTGAGGCCATTTGCAGTTCCAGTTCTACACTACAGAATTTATCAGTATATTCTATTCTACAGCATACTAAAAGCACCATAATAGTTAAAATTTTATAGGAAGAATACTCTGAGTTCTGCGTGTAGGATGTAATACAGAAATCTTGTGTTGCTATGTAATGCTTGTGCCCCAGCCTTTCCTTACATTTTGTCCTGCCATCCTCTAGAATTATTTTTAACATAGGGTAAGTACTTTGTGTAATATCCCTAAAAAATCAAAATCTTGCAAAGCACTCATGAAAAAGAGATTCTTTCAGCTTTACACATCCAAAGCGTTCAGAGTTGTTGGGAGTTGGGTGGTGTACAAACTGAATAAAATAAACACACTTCAGTGAATAAAACAGAATTCTTTGAATATATTTCAAGGCAAATATTAATCTTTGTTTAATTTGAGGATTATATGAAAAAGCAGGATAAGAAGGAATCTTATCTGTCTTGCTTCACTTTAACTGACCTGCAAAGTAGAAAGAGAAGGTTCTACTCTCAAGATGCTCAGAGTCTTTGCTAATTACTGTTTTGAATTAGCAATTTTCCAAATTTGGCAAGTTAATTAAAACATCCAATAAATTGAAACTTCCAGTAAAGATTTTTTAAAAATAAATATTGGTAGCAGTAGAATGCTGTTAATCTAGAACTATCATCCTTCCAGATGGTAGCAAAGAAATATCTAACATTTCCCAAAGCATTTAGGCCTTGTTTATTACAAACAAACAAGCAAATAAATAAATAAATATACATGATCCCACTGAATCGCTATATACTATATACATGGTCCCACTGAATCACATGCTTGGCATGCATTAGGTCCTGGATTAGGTTAAGCTCAACTACTAAATGGATCTCAATATGTTAGGAAAGCCTTTGCCCAAATAGATAATACTAAGATATACACTACTGTGCGGTGTCAACTTTTAAAAACTGTTCTAGAATCATCTCAGATCATTTTCTGTTGGGTACTTAATGACAGAATTACTGCTAAATGCTTTCTGACTCAAGACAGAAAATTGTTAAACTGCTGCAAAACAAGATGTAGAATAAGCAATACAGGGAAAGATACATTCCTCAGAAAATTGAAACACATTCTGAAATAGGGTAATAGTCATATCCAGATGCTTATAGGAAAATAATCTTGTATTTCACGAGTTTGATAGTTCACAAGAAGTCATTATTTCTATTATAAAAGTCAATCGGCCTTAATCAGTCAAGAAAGCCAACAAGTGCCATTAGGCTGATGAGCTGGCAAATATTGGTAGAATGTACTAGTGTCCCTCAAATTGCAGTTAAGGTTTTCCAGATGATCCTGCTCAAATATATATGGTTTTTGTATATGGTTTTTAAAATTATTATCTAGATTCTAAAACTGCAGAGAGAACAGAAATCTCTATGTAGTTGTGTTCATCTTTGTTGGAAGCAAATAATAATTGGTAAAAGTACAAAATGTATTGGTAGGTATTAGAGGAAAGGCAAAGTAGTTCCAGAATTTCCTGCATGAGAACTGAAATTAATTACTAATGAAAAATTTACCTTTAAATAAGTTTTAAATAATCAGTTTTATATAATGACTTTATAAGATGTAGTATTAATGAAGCAGAGTGGTAGCTAAACATGTTACGTGACTCCTATTTCTCAAGTGATGGTTGCTATATCCCATTCAACTTACTTTACATGTCCATGAACATCCACATATGAAAGTTAGCATCAGACACACCATTTCACATTAAAACTTGAACATTTGTAGTGCCACATAACTGTGGAAAAGAAATCCACTTTACTCTATGCTTGTGCAAAAACAATCTTCACATTTATTATTTTGTGAGAAGTTTACATGAAACCATGATGTGCTCTTGAGAGTAGTTTGAGACACAATATTTATGTGCTAAGTCAGCCAACCAAATCCTGCATGGCTTACACTGAGGAAATCTCCAGAGAAGCCAAGTACAAGACAACTTTGACTGTTGTGCTTAAGATTTTGAAACAGAGTAATTTTAAGAGATCAACATTGTATGCAGCTATTGCTAATTAATAGTTTGATCAAGAAGACCTCATGTAAGTCTGTACTGATTTTCTCCAGCTGTCATTTCTCAGTTCAGAATACATTCACTTAATCTTAGCCTGGTTAGATCATTGTGCCTTCTGCCCTGCAAAAACATAACAGTACATATCACAATTCTTCAGTATAATAAACATAACTAAAATGTACCCTCAAAACCTGCCCTGTTTCTGCTCTCAAATGTAATTTCCAATTCCTCTGTAGTCCTTTCTGGGATTGCCAAAATTCCCAATTCTTCCTTCTTTACACATGAGAAAGTCAGTTACAAACTAACACAGCCAAACTAGCTGTATTTTAAATCTCCAGTTCCAAATAATTTCAGTAATATAATCTTATTTTATGCAGTTTCTTCTATAAAAGCCATAAGAATGCGTAACATCACCTGAGAAAATCTTTAAGAATCCCAAGATAACACTTTAATGAAATTCTGTAATGAAACAGTGTTCTCTTTAAAGATTAGAAGAATGCTGTAATTTTTCAGAAATACTAAGAAAGGATTTACCTGTTATGATGGCTAGAACTGTGTTTCTTCTTTCTTTTTGGGGGGAGGGGGCAAGAAATGCATTTTAGTATCACTTATCAGGTTAAATAGTTTGTTTTACTCCTTAGGGTAATATTTGTATATTTTAAAGTACAATATTAGTTTTATAGTCATTCATAACACACTGCAATCTAAATATTTTCTAAAAGTGCCTATGTCAGAGTGTATGTATAAAAATCAGTTATTAGTTACTAGTTATGTGTCAAGATTGTATATAAAGAGCAGCATTCAACAACACAGCATAAGATAATCTAATACTGAGAGCTACAACTGTACATATTTATATGTTAACATTCTTAGCTAAACTTATGGAAAGTGAGTTAACCAAACCAAATTTTATAAAATAGGGCTATATTTATTAATAGAGGCCCTCATGTTACAGGAAAAATTTTCAGTTATGTACCATGTGGGCAAATGCAAAAAGGTTAGGAGGGAAAACATTGTCATCCACTGGTACATGACTGTTTAAGTGTATTTTAAATTCTTCCTCTAAAATATTGGAAAAAAATGCATGTTTACAGCTCAAAGGGCCATAATGCTTAAACTGATTAGCAGGGCACCTCTCCCCACAGGCTAACCATATTGTGTACAACTTAAAATGGAGATACAAATACATCAGGGGTATAAAGATCTGTCTTTCCACTATACACTTTTCACTGTTTTATACTGATTAACATAAACAATGATTAAGCAAAGCTGGAAGAAAACAATCGGCTGCTTTTTTTTTTCAGATTGTTTCTTTAAATCCAAATACTGTATGTCAGAGGCTAAAACTACAATGACACCTTCTTTTTCATCTAGCTACACTCAAACCTACTGTGCACAAGTGGATCATTTAAACAGATAATAGTATAGACCCAGTACTAAATGTAAATCCTGAGTCACCAAATTTACAGATCAATAAATGGAACTATTAAACTCTATTGCCCTAGCTCTATACTGAAATACTTTCTTAAGTAAGTTCATACACCATTTACACTTATTTTTCAATTTGGATGTACACATCCATAGCAAAAAAAGGCTGTGTTAATCTATTTGACACAGATACTGTTAATGTCCAGATTAGTTTTCCTGATTTTCCTAAACATCACAGACTTATGGCTGCCCTTCCCTTGGAGCAGAAGGCAAGGACTTAACCTTCCTTCCTTCCTTCCTTCCTTCCTTCCTTCCTTCCTTCCTTCCTTCCTTCCTTC